CTCGCATGTATCAGTGCTATACACTGGGCATGTAAAAGAACCAAGGGGTCTATTCAATAAGAGCTAGGGACTGGTTCCCGGATTCCCTTGTATCTTAAAGCTGTTTCTTAAATGTATACAATGTATACCTGCTTAGAGTGATCGAAAACGATTTAAAAGCAGTATAATGTAGAAAAAAAAAATTCCCTTCTTTCTCTATGTAAAATTTCCCCCTGCCTCTGAAAAATAGGAGTGAATTCTCAAAAATAGGGGTGAATCCCCCCTCCTAGAATAAACACTGATATACGCTCATTATAGTACATATGAAGAATATTCTTTATATATAGTATTATGAGCGTATATGGGTAAAATAATTGTGTCTAGTGCCTGTGAGTGCGGAGGTCACGAGGGGTCCCTGTGTGTCCAGTAACACTTTCCGCGTATTTGTTCCGTTCGCTTTTCGGTATAATTTCTAACAAAATTGACAATAATAGAATTAAACATACAGGGTATCTTAAGCTTATTTACGGGTCTTTACTTACACGAAAAGAGAGTTGGTTTGTTTCTCGTGTTGAAAGATGATGTCTTCCAATTTTTGAAGGGAGTTTGAACTACAAAAATGGTATTTTTTCTGGACTATTTCCCGCGACTCTGTTTTGGAAGCCTCCATCTTGTTTTTCTGTGATGTCATAAGCATGTGACTTCGAAACTCCGCCTCCTCCAGGAAAGGGATGTCAGAAAGTGATTACCTATAAAAAGCGGTGTAACGCTTGTGGTTAAGTTTACATGTTGTTTGTTAACATAAAATTATGTAAAATATATATGTCTGTCGGCTTATTTTTTGTGATCAAGGGAAATAACTTGTGTCTTTCAACAACTTGTATTAATATCTTCAGGATACAAATTTTATTCGTTTGAAAGATAAATGTACTATAATAATATACCATTAAAACACATAAATGTAAATTATTGCCATGAAATTATCTGGTTTAAATCAATTTTGAGAAATTTTTTGGTAGAAATTCTTTCTATGTAAACACAAAGTTTCTCATTAAAGAGATAAATACATTTGTGAAATTTCAAATTTATATCCAAACTTCATGAGTTATACCGTGGGCTATTAAAATTAATTATGGGAAAAAACAAAGGACAATAACTCCGGAAACATGCTAAAGAGAGTTATGGTTCTAATTCACTGCTCTTCGCTTTTATATGATCTATCAATCTATGAATTTTAAGTAAATACCTGACATATTTTTTGTTATACCCAATACAAAAATAAAGTATGAACACTTGCAAAGGGAAATTACTCCAAATTTTTGCAAAAGAGAGTTGTGATTCTTGAGCAATTAGATGTACCCAATTTAAAGTTTACAGACTAAACTTAATTAGTTTAAGTTTAATGCTCCATTTAATTCCGTGGACAAATGCCGGGCAGAATAAATATTTTATAGTATTTCGTTTAATTTAGTTAGAACTTAGAACATGGAAAGAGCCAATTTACAAAAATAGTTTAAAGATCGCTAACCATGAACAATTAAATTGCGACGAAATTTAGATACAATGTTCAGAAAATGGTACTTCAAGTCAAAACAATGAAACTATCCCTTTTAATGACTAGGGAATCTATGTGTTCATACAACCACTAGGAGATATAAGTGCATACTTGCCCAACTTCTGAAATATTAAACATACAATTTTACTACCAGATAGTAGAACAATCGCGACCATCTTACTTGATAACTTTATGCTGGAGTGTACAGAGTTGCGGGGTTACGGCGCACCCACTTAGTAGATGTCATACGGCGACTTTCCAGCTTTACTGGTTGAGGAAAACCTCGCGAGTTAAACAGATTGATTGATTCTAAAAACTCTTCTTAAAGAATATAGTATTTCAAGTACATACAGGATCATATAAGGGATTAGAAAATAGCAAAGAGTATTATTACAAAGTAGTGAATAAATATTGTCAAAAATCGTTTTGATGTTTTAGGTTGGTGAATATTTTAAAGTGAATAGGCCTATAATTGAAGATCTCTTATACGAAACATTATTATGTTGATAGTAATAAGTATCATTCGTGAACACAAATGAGCCGCGTCACGACAAAACCAACATAATGGGTTTGCGACCGGCATGGATCCAGACCAGCCTGCGCATCCGCGCAGTCTGATCAGGATCCATGCTGTTCACTATCAGTTTCTCTACTTGTAAAAGAGTTGGTACGCGAACAACATGGATCCTGATCAGACTGCGCGAACGCGCAGGCTGGTCTGGATCAAGGCTGGTCGCAAACGCACTATGTTGGTTTTGTCGTGACGCGGCTCAAATCAAGAAAGAATTATATATGGCTGTTTTTGTTAAGTGTTAGATACATGATCCGATATGACATGTGAATACATGTATATAGCAGAAACATTAAGTGTTCTAGAACAAAATGTTATTATTCAACATATATATGCTCATAATAAATCACTTTAGAAATTTATCAACTTTTGCTTTCCTACAGTATTTCATAAAAGTATCCAAATGATACATTTCTTTTCTTATTATCAATATGTGTAGCACTTACGGAAACTGTGCTAGTTGTAGACCAATCCATGCATTTTAAATCATATAACATAATAAATCAGACGCTAACATATTATCATGTTTGTTTTCCTCATTTTGTTATATTTTTTTTCTTCTATATTGTTGTGACAACTTGCTCACAATTTATGACAGCATACATGCGTGTAGGTAGGACAATATAAAACATGTTTCATCAATGCAATTTAGTGAATTATAATACAAATAAGTGTCATAAAGGCGGATTACTTCAGTATGCATTGTTCGCTGAATGAATAACGTAATGTTAAATCACGTGTGTGTATATACATATATACCTTAAACCTTCGTATAATATTTTCACTATTGCTGTTCGGGAATAGAAGTTTTGATTAGGACTAATAGACAAACCCTTTGTTTAATGGAAATGTATATCAAAAGAGGTTACTGTTAAAAAATAATCGGTTGAAATTTTTTAAGTCCTTTTGTTCACAGGTGCTCGTCCAGTATTGGTGCCCATATATAAAGAAATGAAGTTTAAAAAAAAATAATAAAAAAAAAAATTAAAAAAAACAAAAACAAAAAAAAAACCATCAAAATTACTATTTTGGGTTGAGTGTAAGAAAAAAAAATAAAAAAAAAAATTTTTTTTTTCCTATATAGAGGATATTTTCAAGTTTTTTCTATAAATACATGATTTATTTTCATCGAGTAGTATGAAAATAAATATTTCATGAGTGGCGGTAGCCACGAGTGAAATATGGTAATTTTCATGCCACAAGATGAAAATAAATCATGTATTTACAGAAAAAACTTGAATTTTCTGTTTATTATATATATTTTTCTCTTTTTTTTTACATTAAAATTTAAAAGACTTTCCCTTAAATTTTGTGTAATGGCAGAATTTAAAAGAAAGTAGTCCGGCAAAGACACCAGTGAAAATACGGAAAATATGTTTCACTGCAGTGAAAAATAAATTTTTACAGTGAAAATACGAAAAATGAAAATAAGCATTTTATTTCATCAATATTTCTCAATATTTCATTTATAAGTATATAATAAATACCATTACTACGAAAAGGTCACCTAGTCGCCGTAACGCTACGGAGTTTTACTAGGACACACTGTGGAACAACCACAATGTCGAGTTCTGTAACAATTAATAAAAGCTATTTTGCTACTCTTTACACATTGTGCATTTAGAAAATTGTTAACATTCTTATTGTACCTTACATACAATCTTAAAACTCGGACACTCCAATTTGTTAAAATTTTGCAAAACAACAGTGATTGTCGGCCATTTTGTCGAAATCGAAAGTACAAAACATACACCGTACTGTTTCGCTGTTCTGGTCCCCTACGACTACGTTCGCTGAACAATAGACAACAGTAACCAATAAATTGATGGTTACCGTTGTCTACTGTTTCTCGCACGTAGTCGTAGGAAACCAGGAGAGCGGAACAGTATGTATGTTTTGTACTTTCGTTTTTGATAAAATGGCCGCCCATCAACGGAATTTTGAAAGATTTTAACAAATTGGAGTGTCCGAGTTAAAATGTAAGTTATTTTAGATTGTGTGTAAGGTAGATGAAGAATGTAAACAATTTTCTAAATGCATGATGTGTAAAGAGTAGCAAAATAGCTTTTATTGTTACAGAACTCGACATTGTGGTTGTTCCACAGTGTGTCCTAGTAATGCTCCGTAGCGTTACGGCGACTAGGTGACCTTTTCGTAGTAATTGTATATAGGAAAAAAAAAAATTTTCAAATTTTTTTTTCTTACACTCAACCCAAAATAGTAATTTTGATGTTTTTCTTTTTTTTTCAAAATTTTTTTTTTTTGAATTTTTTTTTTTTAAACTTCATTTTTTTTATATATGGGCACCAAGACTGGACGAGCACCTGTGCTTTTGTGCATTACAGAAATTTTCCATCAAACATAAACATGTGTCTTATTTAGACCCAAAAAAATGATAAATGATACGTGCTACAAATAATCATAAATCATTGATAAACGCTTGATCTTCTAAAACTCGCTAAACAAACATTTTAACTTGAATTATATTTTATAATCTCATTCAAGTAGTGTTATAACTTTTAAATTACGTAGCGTCATAACTCTTAAATTGTATCCTAAATTATGTGTACAAATACTAAAATAGATAAAGTAGAAACGATTAAGAATCCCCCTAAACGGCAAAAAGATGCAAGGATCCGCCCCCCCCCCCCCCCCCCCCAGCACCGGCTGAACCAGAGCTCGTCAATGATATATTTGATATATGAAAAGAGTGTTATTTGAAATAAAGGAACATCTACATGTGCGTTCATATCAAATAAAATTTTTTAATGTTTCATTTATTTTACTAGCATACGCGTGCTTACAAGTAGTTTACATTCACTGTGTAATTAGGTCATGAATAAACTTCATTTTTTTATATTTAGCAACTTTTCAAGATAAAATAATTATCTGTATTCAAGTAAGGTGAAATGTAATAAGAATGTATATTCTGAGTCACAGTAGTTTTCATGAATTATTTGTACAATAAGTGTCATTCTATGTTTGATTTGATTAACGAAAATAGAATCTTAATGAGGCTTATCGCATGGATGAACATGAAACAAGTTTGATATATCAAATATGTAATCTCTGTCTGTGTATTTATCTTAAATGTTTTGTGAACAATGCATACAATGAGACGTTTTATGTCAGTTATAACAATTACAATACTGGTAATATGGTTTTATATACATTTCGTAAGAGTTTCTAGGTATGGAGTTTATTCGAATCATTCAAGGAAATTGATGCCTAAAATGATGGATTTGTTCAGATCTGAAAGCATTGCCGATAACAAATTTCAAAGTGGTGTTGAACTATTGATGGGAAATACTGGTATTAAAAATACGAAAAAGAAAGTGACGCATGTTGCAGATGTGGTACAAAACACTGGAGTTTCAAATATATTGGAGCAAATCAGAAGGGAGCCCGGAAACATGTCTTTGTTGTATGCAGCTCAACGAGAAATAAATATTTATTTACAAAACATTGAAGCGAAGTATATAAAAGATAAGGATTATGTTCCCCAGCAACAACATTTTTCAAACCCTTTAGAAAAAACTAAAGGACATCCAGATCCTGAACGACATCGACATTCACCAGGAAGCAAAACGGAAACCTCCGAATCGTTGGTAATAAACACCGCTCTCAGTAAACGTATTGGACAAAAGGGGGATGTGTTAGACACCCTACATCACAACCTTAAAAAGATACCACTAAATGATCTTCATAGAAAAGTTCTTGTAAAACAACCTAGTTCATCAAAAAAGCAACTGTATGTTTCTAGATTACCACTTACGGGTGTTATCCGTCAAGGATTAGAAGAAGCTATAGACCCTTCGCCAAATCTATTGATAAAACAATATCCCAGTCACGATAACACTTTCACAAGACAGCGAATTTTCATCCCAAAAGAAGGCACTGAAAACCAAACAAATGACTTAGGACAAAGCCATGACTTTCTTAATCTAGATTTTGGACATGCGCAAAACAATTCTGATCAGCAATCTTTCGTTCTCGAAAAAAACAATGCACAGCCAATTGCTATAATGCGCAGGCAATACATCAACCTCAAAAATGATTTTACAATGCTTATTGACAGAGAAAATCTGAAGACCTTATTTCCACCTACTCCGCATCAGAAAAGCGTACAAAAAATCAGGGATCAAACATGCAATAACTGTTTTGTTCATAATTTTAGTTATATAATCAACAATGCTAATATCTGTCAAAGAAAAAGTCCAATGGACAGTATTTTTCTTTTTATAATGATATTTACGACACACGAAAATTTCGAACAGCGAGATGTTATTCGAAAAACATGGCTTACATACGCGAGTCAAAATACTGGCCATATACGATATGCGTTTTTGCTCGGCGAATCCACTCACGATGATCTACATGAAAAAGTGTTACAAGAAAACTCCATTCATCATGATATACTTAAAGAAGATTTTGTCGACACTTACATGAACTTAACGTATAAGACAATAATGGGATTTAAATGGGTAGTTACTCATTGTCCAACAGCTCAGTATGTTTTTAAAACGGATGACGATATGTTTATCAATATACCAAATTTGATGAAATTTTTAGAACAATCTGGCGAAGAGTTAGACAATGTGATTGCCGGAAGTTGCTTTATTGATGCATATCCAGACAGAGATAATACCTCAAAATGGTTTGTATCAAAAGACGAGTATAAGGAGAAAATGTACCCAAGTTTCTGTTCGGGAACAGGTTATCTTACTAGTATGAACGTTGTTGATAAGATATACAGGATATCACCCAATGTGGCATTTTATTTCCTTGAAGACATTTACATTGGGTTTTGTCTTCGACAAATTGGTGGCACGATTAAAGATGTTAAAGGTTTCCATAACTATGAACCGGAACTTGATTCATGTGCATACAAAGGAGATGGTTTGATTACAGCACATTGGATAACACCTGAAAAAATGGAAGAAATATGGAAATCAAAATGTTTTCACATTTATTAATGTACAACAGCAATCTAAATATTGTGACATGTCTTTTAATGATTTAAGTTATTATGCCTCTAATTGGAAATTTTATTTTTTTTAAGAAAAGAAATTAAAATTATTCATTGAAGTATAGCAAAATATAGTTAAATATATATAGTATTTAAAGATTATGAAATATTTTTATGAAGTTTATTGATAGTTAATTAATATTGTTCCCATAATAATTATGGCAGTCAATCCTCGAGAGTTGTAATGTAGAATGTCAACTTGTTAACTATCATGCCATTTGTTTAGGAGGCTAATGCTTTATTAGTCATCGTATTAGTATATTTACTATCTGTGTTTCTGTTTTGTTAAAAATTATATTCTTACTTTGTAGATATAGAATCATATTTGCATTATAACATGTAACTCTTCAGTATTGGAGGAAATAAAGATATATATATATATATATATATATATATATATATATATATATATATATATATATATATATATATATATATATATATATATATATATATATATATATATATATATATATATATATATATATGTTATTTAACGCACATATTGTACACAATAAAATGTTCAGGAACAATATATTATGCTGTTATTTTAAGAATCAATGACCTAATGGTCACCGATTAGAATCAGTTTTTCATAACTTTTTTTCTTACCTTGATAGTATAAGACTTTTATTTTTCAAAATTCAAATATTAGACAATTTCATGATCCGATTTTTTAAAAATTATTTTTTAGTGCCACACCTCATCTTTGAATTTTTTCTCAAATTTCAATCAAAATTGCATATCAAGAGGAATTATTTTTTGCATGTGAAAAGAGATTTTGTAGAAATAATCTATGTCTTTGCTTTCATTTTGGGCCTAAAAACAATTTACAAAGTGACTGTAAGTAACAAGTATTCATTTGGTTTTACATTTTTTCAATGCAAGCGCATAAAATAAATTCAAACAAATATAACTTTACACACTTTAAAATAGAATTGTTTTAGACCTTGCATAACGAATGATAAACATGAAGTACGAAATACATAAAGTATGCTTGATTTTGAGTTACATGTTCAATGACTTAAAAGAGTAAATCTCACTTTCAGAAGCAGCTAGGTAATTCAAAGCAGGATGTAAAGCACAATTGTTTTTGCCATGATCTCTATAATCATGCAAAATCTACGAAAACTCTCTCCCTTGTTAAAACTTTCCTTCTTTGCTAAAATAAAATAACTATTTAAAATTTCCAATTAGTGGTATAATCCATATTCTTTGTTGATCAGATTTATCCCTAATGTGGTAAAATTCTTTTGCAATATTGTAGTTGACTCACAATTTTACTTGTTTTTTTATTGGTTTCTTTTTAGTTTTCATTTCTATTTAATTTCTAACTGATTGATGTGTGATTGTCAATTTGGATTGTTATTCCATGTCAATGAAATTTTAAATTTAATTGATATTCTTGCATAAAAACGGCGCACAATATAACGTAGAAGAAAGCATGCGTTAACAGATTTACTTTCCGTTTTTCTTTTTCTTTTTATTACACTTTTGTAATGCTGGCCGTGGTAGTTGTATTATCGAGACAGTAATGGTTTCCGTAAAATGTCGAACGAAAGTTTGTTTATTCATGAGACATTTGAGAAGTACCCGTGCATTGAAAAAAGAATATACTATTAAAAATAATGGAAATGCTGGGATCTAAACCCGCATCAGAATAGTTGATAGACCAGCGCGCCACCACTACACTACAATGTCTCACTGCAAGTAGTATGCCCAATAAGTATTACAATACTATCCATACACACATGACTTAATTACCTTTTCTGAAGTGCACTGATCCATCTGCGGAAGTCCTTGGGCAAATTAAATCCCTTGCCCTGCGGGATTGCGCTTCAAATACGTCTTCGTGCTTCTGTAGATGTAGATTGTATCATAGTTGGGGGGGGGGGAGCTTTCTGTTGAAAACGTATCAGAGTTATACATGCACAGTGCGTTAACTGGAATGCATGTATTATAGTGACCCGCACACCAGAACATACCCATTTTTCTGTGGTTTACTTATTGTGACGACAGAGAAAGGGATAGAGACAGAAATATCATATTGATATGCTCGTTCATTGTTCATTTTTCTGGTGTTTCATATTGTGACAAGAGGAAAATTGTTTTTATTTTTGCCCATGATGCAAAAGAAAGAAAAGAACATCAAAATACACGGCAATCTGATTTATACCTGTGGTAAACTCGTACAAATCAGATAGCCTCGTGTTTCGATACTCATTCTATTACTTAAATATAGATATTGTTTCAAAATTATCGATAATTATTTTTAAAAATTTGATTGTCTTTACGCATTTAAAAATGCTTTGTCTAAATATACTGTTAATGAATGCAAATGTTATTTTAAAATTGTTTTGAATGTCAAGGTTATCTGAAACCTTTTTGCTATTAAATTAAAGTTGTTTTCTTTCTTTTTTCAAATTTGTTTCTTATTCAGTGTCAATGTTATTTCAGAATTGTTTGTCGATGTTTTTATTGACTTGCAATGAATGTTAAAGTCATTATAATCCGGTAACAGTCAAATAACTTAATTACATATAAATTCAAAAGGAATTCATTTTGTTGTTTTTGTTTTATTCTTTTTTATTTTTATTACTATTCTTTTTCTGTCTCATTTTACTCTTTGGTATGTTATTGTTCCAGCACAAGGCTCCTTGGTTCTCAACAAGCTGATTGAGGCTATTGTGTGTTTTTTTCATATGGTATTATGATCAATATTGCTCAATAGACGAATGTATTGAAGAAAAGAAGAAAGAAAAGTGTTGCGTGATACGATCAAATGACCATGTGTTGCGTAGATGTAACCATGCCAACGGAGGATTATACACAAATTGTTCATTGTGTACTATATAGGTACGAATAGAATAAAGCGAAAACCCGACACATTTTCTACATAATAAGAGGTGCAGCTAGTCTCGTTTGAATCATTGGGTTACAGAAGCGAGAATGTCACTGTTTTATTACTGAATACATTGAGTAAATGCCACATTTACAACAATCGTCCAAAATAATTAAAATTTTGGAGAAACAAATAATATCTATTGATATGTTTTAAACGTATATGATATGATATGCTTGTTATATTTGCTATACGTTTTCAATATTAGAAATATAGTTTAGACGTTTAAAATTCGTTCGATTATATTCAGTATGATAAAATTTAAGCAAATGTTAGTTGTAAGAGCAGCACACATTCTGTTACATGCTACTATATCAAGTTTTCAAAATACTTGAATTATTGTCAAGAGAACAAATATATGGTGAATTGAATATTAATAAGGCGTCAATCTGATCAAAATGAGTTTTTGAATAACTCTACGCCGCTAATGTAAGACGATCTGAACTTGTATAACATGTATGAGGTACTTACTGTAGGGCAAAATGTGCAACATTAGATCTGACTCCGCCAGTGACGTGGTAGATAATGTAGTAAAATTCAGTCAAATAGTCAATTTAGTCTTATAAAAGTATAGTTTTTATAAATCAAGCAAAACATTACAAAATTAAGAAAATGACATTTTGATTTTGTGTTTCTTTCATCTGAAGACATTGTACGTAGCTTTTATAGGTGGGAACTTGAAATTCACTTAGTAAGACTGAGCTGTTGGCAATTGCTTGAGAATAAATGATAAGTTTGTATGTGAATTGGTGTCTGTGGTTTTGTGGTTATTTTATGATTAAGTGCTGAAACCTATTTAAAGGCAAAAATTTAACAGAATAATGTTTCGTCATGCGTTAATTATATATCACTACACTAATTATGGAGGAAAAAATACATGTTTGCAGTGGCGAACAACTGTTTCTATATACAACGTCTGTTGTGATTAAACATCTTAATTTTGTCATCAATTTGGAAACCTTAAAGAACGCCCAAAATTGAAAATAATTCATACTTGGTTTGAGCCTGTCCATAGACGGCAGTAATAAATATGTATACAATCAATCCAACCTCACCATCCAATCTTAAACAGAATTTAAATTTCAAATTTTAATTACTACCTGGCGACTTGAGCAAAACTTATTTATTATATATTTGTACATAATGCGTGAATGGTTTGTAAATGAAACACGCGACTATACATTTAACCAATACATTGTGTTATAAAAAGAAAAACAATTATTTAACCTACGCCTGGGAAAACTACAAATACACGTGGAAAACTACACATACACGTTACGTATCTCTATCTCATCATAAGTACAGTGACTAGAGTAGTCTTATAAAAAATACATAAACGGCTTTTATATTGACTAAAAAAAGAATGAAGAATTTTAAAAAAAAGTACAATTTAATCGACAGCACTTCAATTAGAGTGACATAGCTCTATAGAACATCTTATTTCATCTTATTTGCATCATAAAATTAATGGCAAGCAAAGGCGATTTGAGATCAAAGAATTGACCAAACATCAACTGAAGTATGTGCATGAAACTACTTTAATGTTTGTTACAGTTGACGTTTCTCCACACCAATGTCTTCTAGATTGCAGATAAACATGTATATTTGAATGCTACATCTCTTGTAAGCCTTTATAATTACTGTCATCTTTAATTCTACATCTATACACGTATATGAATACCTCCGATTACCCTTTGCATTAATAAACATTTCATATCCTAGATATTACGGTTTTCAACTTTTCGGCCTCGAACTCCTGGTGTTTTCGGTATTTTTTAAAATATGATTATATATTTTTGTCAAATTTAATTTGATAAATGTATACATATTATAATGTTCTAGTAAAAATGAATATGTGTCATGTTTTAATGCAGAGTTGTATACGTATTACATTCTGTTTTATAAGTCTGGTTTTAATATTGATTTAAACCTGGGACAAAAAGTTTATTTTTGGTCCCAGTTCGAACATAGCATATTTATATTGTACAAATATTTTTTCTCGAAAATAAACTGTCCATGAAATGACTAAGTTATAATATTTTTTTTTAAATGAACGTTTTCTCGACTATCAATCTCTGTTAGTCATGAACAGAATTGATGTAGATGTAGATATAGTACATATGTATCATAATTATAATAGTTTTGATTTTTAAAAGTAATATGACTTGACTTGGCACATGGTGTTAAAACTTGATTGCACGCTGATGTGCCACCTTAAAAATTGTCTTGGAACACTCAAGATAATCCGATCAGTTGCCCGACCAAGCTTAGCTAGACCAACGAAGGTCATGTCACACATACTGATTAATTCCTTTAAAGTACAATATTAAGGCCCGAAAAGTCCTTGATGTAAAAGGATCAAATCCGAAACGTCCAGAGGTAGAAATAGCCAGTCACCCTATGATCTACTCCTGATTAACCAATATTTTCTATTACTGAACGCACCTTTGTAATATTTTTCACTCAAATTAATCTCTAGAAATCGCATAATTTCGATAAACATGACACCTTATAACATATAAGAAAGATAAAGGAAAATATGAGGATACGTATAAATGTTTTCATACCGTTATGTAAACGATTACAGTACAGTAAATTTTTACCTCCCTTTGGTTATTCGCCGCCATTTGTCAGGTCAACCAAGCGTAAACAAAATTAAAATTATTTTAATCGTTTGTTTTCCAATTTTATTGAGGTCCAAATGTTAGGAAAGAAACAGTAAAATACCTGAATGTAAGAGATTTTTCATTGACATTTTGATTTCATCGAAGAATACGATGTACCGTGCGTTTTCACAATTTTAAAAGTAAAATTGAAGGGGTGGGGTAATTGAAAAATATTATAAATCCATTGGTGCCACTCAAAGTTTACCGGTATAGTTTATATTGATTATTTGAGGAAAGACTTTTTTGGGTTCCTTTCCAAAATTAATATCAGCATACATTTCTTTTAATGTGTTAAAGATAAATAAGTTTTAGAAAAGGAATTGACATAACGGCAAGCTTATAGTCTTGTTCATTTTTTGTGGCCAATTTTTTATCATTTGAACTTAAAATACAAATATTGACTAATGTATTTGAATTAATAAAAAAATAGAATCTCCTTCAGCTTAAAAATTGGAAAAAAGGTGCTAATTAGTTTTAAATCCAACAATTTTGTGATATTTTATTCGGTGGCACAAAATACCCAAATACACCCAAATATTGCCCATATATACCTAAATATAGCAATATTCATTTTTGTTTGTATAAATACAGATTATAATGAGGAAATGAATTAATATTTATAACAAAGTATGACTTGGGCCGTTATAACTTTAATTCATTCCGTTGAAATGGGCAGTTCAGATGTTGTAAAAAAATTAACTTGTGACATTAATTTATTTAATTTTTTTTGGTATAACTTTGTTCAAATTTCATACAAGTGTCCATCGTATTTTTTTATTATTATTATTGTTTTATATAGCTTTATTGGAGTAGGCCCTATACTGTATTTGGGTACATTTTGGTTCTAGTCCAACTAATTGTACTGAGCGGTGAGATATTGTGCTATTTCCTTGTCTGGGAAATATCTCGCCTCTACAAAAAATGCGAGATTCTGCCCCAGAACGAAAATATCTCAGAATCAAGCTTTGGCACTTAAATATATTTTGACTAATTTTGGTTCAAAACACAATAATAGGAAAATGTATATTTGGGTATGTTTGATTTTATCTTAGTAAATGTATATATGTATATTATAATTCATAATAAAAACAGCTTTTTTATGTATAAAACATTTACTTTTAGTATATTTGGACAATATTTGTGTATAGTAAGTAAGTAAGTAATTTATTTATTATAGTGACATGTGTAAACATATTTTACAAATTCAAATAATACAACATATTAAATACACCCGGCCCAATGGGCCTATAAATCACCTTTGGGCCTATAAGTCACCTGTATATTTGGGTGTATTTGGGTATATTTGGGTATTTCATGCTGCACATTTTATTTAGTCACATCTTTTTTCACTGTCTAAAGGTATAATATCAATAGCACAAAGCATAAATCAGATTTATAAAAGTAGACTTTATGGTAAAGATAAGTTAATGCAAGGAAATACTGTCTAAAGATCTATCTTCCGTTCATGTCAAACCCCTCACTGGGACATAGACATGACTCTAGACTTCAGAGACAGCTATGTACTAACTTTTATTCTATTAGTAAAGCAACAGTTTCAAAATTTTCTACGTCACCTAGTTGTTTCCATTTATAGTGAGCCGAATTGACAGGGATCAAAAATTCCGCTTGAGAGTAGAGATCAATGCAGGACAAGTACAAAATTGTTGTATGCCTGTCCTGCTGGAAATTTGCCGATGTGATAGAATGCTAGAATTCTCATAATCTGTTTTACATTTAATGATGGAAAACCGGAAACCTAGCTTGTGTTTTAGGTTATGTGTAAATTGCGCACTTCATAAAGCTCTGACGCATTGTTAATTGGATACAGGTATGACTCAGACTGGAATGTGCCTGACAATGCTCTATAAATTGGGCGACTTACACATGACCTGAAATACAAGTTTGTTTCTGGTTTTGGTTCAATATGTAAACAATTTCAAGTGGTTTATTGCATTGGCGAGGGTCTATTGCATTGACAAAATTTATAATCTCAGTCTGTGCGAAAGTCTGTCATTCCTCGGACCTCGCCAACTAAAAATCAGGAGGGCCGAGATAAATTTCGATACAGTCAGTCCTCATGTCCGAATAAAATTTCAGCAAGTTTGAAACAATTTTTGGCCTTCTAAAATATGCAAAACTTCCAAGATCGATTTTTTTTCATTTTTGCTTGTATTCACAGACCCAGATAACCAAAATCATGCCAAGATACAACCAGTTTTTGCTAAGTATTGTAAGCCACCATCTTGTCTTGGATAATTTCCTTATCAAAACATATTTTTTTTCCAATATTCAAAATTAAACCATTGAAAGATGTATCGTTTTCTTGTGAATTATGCTAATGTTTTATTTATTATGTTGCTGTATATTTTTTTCATAGTATCTTATAGTTGAATCTGATATTTCATATTTGCTCAATATTTTTGTTTATAATTATGGCAATATCCCTCCCCCACCCCTACAAAAAATACCTTTCAGAGTCCGGGCTGGGAAAAAATCATCAGGGCCGGAAATAAATCAAATGATCCCAGTCCTTGTGGCTGGAAAAAATTTTGACTTTCGCATTGACTGTAATCTTAAAAGCTGTGCCCAAAATGCAGGATGAGTAGCGTAGCATGCAGGACAAAAAGAAATTTGAGCATAAATGTACTTGGCATGCAGGACAAGTGGATCTGAAAAGATTTTTCGATACCTGATTGAGTGCAGTACAATTAAGGTCTACTTTTCTGTAACTGTATACCAGAAAGTAAACAGCAGACTTCCCGAAATACGTCGGTCCGACGGACATGTCCGATAAATTTTGATCAGGTCCGACGAGTTTTTACTCCGGATCGGTCCGACTGTCCGGCTTTTATCCAAGCCGCATGTATACAAAATGGCGTCGCTAAAGGTGACAAACCTTGGAAAAATTAAAAATCTACGTCAGAGGAACAGGCAGAACAGCAGTAAAAGGATAAAAAGAATAGATCTGAGACAAAATTTAATGAAAAATAGAAGCAAGACAGTGAATCGTTGGTGTATGATAGGGAGGAGATGAAAATGCGCTGTAAGGAATGTGCCGATTTTTACGGCGAAAAAATTAAAAACAAAATGTGTCTTAGAAATACAAACACAAGTTATTCTTTGATTTTGATCAATTTTATTTGGTCCGACAGATTTCGTTTCGGTCCGACATATTTTCATGGTTTGTCAGACCAAATGTCTGACAGTTTTTTTCAACTTTCGGGAAGTCTGAACAGTACTTTCTTTTCATTTATTTAAGTATTACTTTGTTAGTTATAGATTACAATAATATTTTCAAATTACTTCAAGTTTTTAACTAACATGTTGATGGTAAAATACTGCAGGTTTAACCAGAAGGTATATTCCAAAGACTGTTTTTTCATTACTTGTATCATAGTTTGGGGACCTTTCTGTTGAAAAAGTGTCAGAGTTAAATGGTATACATATACATGCACAGTGCGGTAACTGGAGTGCAGGTATCAGTTACCCGCACTCCAGATCATGCCCGTTGATTGGCTCATTTTTGCTGGGGTTTACATATTGTGACGGCAGAGAAAGAGAAAGCGGCAGAAATATCATATTTAGATGCTCGATCATTGGTTACTTTTTCCCGGGGTTTAAAATTGTGACAACAGGGAACGTGTTTTTATGTTTGACTATGATACAAAAGAGAAAGAACACCAAAACACTCGGCAATCTGATTTATACTCGGGGGGCTACGCCCCCTCGTACAAATCAGATAGCCTCGTGTTTCGGTGCTCTTTCTATTACTTATAATACTTTGTCTCAGTTTAATATGATTTGCTATATTAAGATATGAAATCATTTCAGGTATTTGGCCTAATAGATTATAACGATGTAAAGAGTGAAATGAGGATACCTTTATGACAAAGACTGCAGCAACCTTGACAGTATTCACTCATGCATGATGTACATGTATTGATGATCCAGGACGGCCCAATGCAAGCCCTAGGGACAAAAACAGCCAAGGATCCTACGTCCTTGAAGTGTGAACAATGCAATAAAACTTTCTCAAGATCCTGGCTTTTGAAAAACCATCAGAGGGTACATACAGGTATTAAAAAAATAACATTTTTTATTTTATTTTTTTTATAAAATATTTTTTTATGCTGCCACAAGAGTGAGCACATAGTCACGGCTTTGTTTGTCTGTCCCTCTGTCCGTCCATCTGCTTTGTTTATTTTTACACTTTGAACTTTGTCCGGGACATAACTCTGGAACAACTAGGGACATAACTCTGAAACAACTAGAGGTATCAACATGAAACATTGTGGATAGATAGATCTCATAGGGTAGATGTGCTGTGCACAAGAACTTGCCTAATTTTTGAGTTATTGCCCTTTGTTTATTTTTACTCTTTGAACTTTGTCCGGGTCATAACTCTGAAACTATAAGAGATATCAACATGAATATTTGTTTTGTTTGTTTGTTTCATTTTATGCCTGTTCCCAACAGTATTTCAGTCATATAGGCGGTTGAATTTTTGTAGGTAGATAGATGTCATTCAGTAGAAGTGCAATGCAAAAGAACTATATCTATATATATCTTGCCTAATTTTTTAGTTATAGCCCTTTGTTAATTTTTACACTTTGAACTTCGTCCGAGACAACTCTTAAATTATAAGAGATATCAACATTAAACGTTGTAGGTAGATGGATCTCATTGGGTAAATGTGCAGTGCACAAGAACAGTAACTCTCCCTTGCCTAACTTTGGAGTTATTGCCCTTTGTTCAATTTTACACTTTGAACTTTGTCCGGGACAGAACTCTTAAACTATAAGAGGTATCAACATTAAACTTTGTAGGTAGATATATCTCATTGATATCAGTATGAAACTTTTTTAGGTAAATAGATCTCATATAATAAAAGTGCAGTGCAAAAGAACCATAAATCTGCCTTGCTTCATTTTGGAGTTATTACCCTTTGTTCTTTTTTACACTATAAACATTGTCCATGTCATAGCTCTGAAAGTGTAATAAAGATGAACAAGATTGAAGAAACTTTGTTAGAAGATAGATCTCATGAGTAGAAGTGCAGTGCAAAGAACAGGATACCTGTCTTGCTATGTTATGAATTATTGCACTTTGAACTTTGTCCGACACATAACACTGAATTACAAATTCAATAGCTTTATTGTACAAAAGGCCTCCGGCCCATACAAAAGGTATACTTTTCTGTGTCCATAACCTATTCAAGGAGCATCACCCGGTTCAACTGGCTCTTGTCTTATTTTGTCTAGAGATTTTGTAGTTAAGTAATTTGGTATTGATAGGAAGTTAAACTTAATGCCTCTGTCAGTATAGTTGTCAGGGTTGTCATATATATCATTAATTTTGTTGGTAATAGAGAAATACTGTTTGTTATTTCAAATTTATTAATAAGCAATCATGGTGATAGAGAATTAAAGTTTGTAATTTTAAATTAATTTATAAGCAGTGCTGATAAAAAATTACTGTTTATAATTTTGAAATAATAAATAAGCAATGGTGATAGGGAATTACTATTTGTTATTTCAAGTAAGATTTCCACTGTTCTTTTGGTCATTAAATATTCTTATTTTTTTCTATGATTATACATTTTTAATGAGACTTTTATAGCTGTGTATGAATAGGTAAAACAAGTTTAAAGATAAATATTCTTTGAAGGCCCTTTATTCTAGCCTGTATTGCCAGTCAAGGGTTTTACTTAATTACTGTATACCCTTTTGTGAAAATCGCCATATTTTTCCAGCTTTAATTTTACCATTAAATTTGTTTGCTGACTTCGAACCACTTGCCTTTCACCACTGTGGGTTTAAATCCTGCTAGGGACTATGGTGACATAATTGGCAGAGGGCACTTCGGTCTACCTCCACCACTAAAGCCCAGGAAAGTTGCCATATGACTTTTAAAGTGTTGGTGTGACATAAAACCCAATCAAAATAAAAAAAAATAACTATCAAATTCACTATCAAACACATAGATTAATCAAGCCCAGTTTTAGGTTATCAAACAGCCATGACCTTAGTCAGGTTTCTTTTCTCAATAAATTTCAGGTGAGAGACCATATAAATGTGCATTTTGTGAAAAAGCTTTCGCTGACAAGAGTAATTTAAGACAGCACCAGAAAATTCACACCACCACAGAGAAGTTATTTCAATGTGGAATATGTCAACGCACATTTGCCCAGAGACGTTACCTTATGAAACATGCAACAGAAATTCATCGAGAAGTAGCCGTAAGTTTATGTGGGTCAGGAAAAAAGGAAAAGGAAGAAGTGCCACCTGTGAAGTTGGCAGTGGAGAAAGTTTCCTCTGTTCAGACAGTTCCGGAAATTCCGGATAAATCTGCAGATCATCAGTACTTGACAAGACAAAAATCGCGCACAAAATCTGTATCTGAAACCAAGGAGGAGAAAGAAGCCAAAGAGAAGAAATACAGGTTAGTATTATTGATCTTTTACTGGAATATTTAGTCTGATTTCAGTCAAAAACATTAATGGCAGTATGCCTCCAGATTCATGCTAAATTTCATAAAAAAAAAATTAAAAAATTATTTAATTTTACCCATGAAATATGGTGCTATATCAGTCAAATATATTTCATATTTGTTAAAAATAAATTTGAAATATAAATATGAAAGTGGGTGGAGTCAAAACTGATATTTATTTTAAGGGACTTCTTTCGCCATTTTGTTTGAAAAATCTGATAAATAAAAAACAACTTTTTGTTGAATTTCGTTTTCAAAACTATCTACAAAGATAGAAAATGGTCTAAGAAAATAAATCCAAACACTTTATCATCTTTAATTTAGTCATTAACACTGTACAGACGTTTAAAGAATTGTTTACGTGTGCCAAAAAGCACATGCAAAAACACTCAAAATAAGACCGCATAGCAAGCAAACAAGGGTATTTATCTAACCATTTTTTTGGATAATGAAATTAGATAAAAAAAGTTATTTTTTTTATTTTTTTGTGAAATATGGTAATAATTTCTCTCAACATGATTAAATGCCACATATTTTTCTCGCCGTCTCGGCTTGTGAAAAATATGTGGCATTTTATCATGTTTCGTGAAAATATATTCCATATTTCACTGAAACTAAAAAATATCTTCTTAGTATTTAAAAATGAAATATTGTATAGTGAACAAAGAAAATAATTTACACAATGCAAGCAGCATAATTATGCAACCCACACAAATTTCCATACTAGGTCAAAATAAGCAAAAATAGCCCTTACTGTGTTAATAATACAGTAGAAGTATGGTGATAAATACTTCAAAGTATGTCCTTAATCCAACATAACATGTAAATTATTACCTGAATCTTTAATCTTTTTACAAAAAAATCTTAGTACATTTTTTCCTATTTAAATTTTTGCAATAGTTTGGCTCATCTGGAGGCATGCAGCTTTAAACATTTTTTACAATTTTGGTAATTTTGTATGATAAAAATGATTATTTTGGGAAATGAAATGAGTAGAATTTTAATAAACTTTTAAAATTTTTGCACATAAGATGTTGATATATACCTATATAATTATCAAAAAAATATTCAGTCATATCATGACTTTTAATAAACATCAGTAGAGTCCTCTAAAGGTTTTGTTCCATAGCCACATTGTTAGCTCACCTGGGCCATCCTTTAAAAAATGTTCGTTTGCAGTAACGCGACCGACTCACAAAATTTGCCCCTACTCAAAATTTTTTTTCATGGTCTGGGTAAAAAAAAAATTTTGAATCAGAAAATTCTGCTTTGTTTTCGTTCTTTTAAAGGTTAATAGAAGAAATAAAATGTAGGTCTTATTAAATTAGAATTCAGTTATCAATTTATTAATTGTTACCAGATTATCAAAGCATATATTGTCCAGCATTTTGAAATTCCATGCTTATTTGGGAGAACAGTTCAGTAAAAAAAAAAAAAAGAAATCGACCTACCTACCCACCTTGAAAATTCTGGGTCGGGTTACTGCAAACAAACATTTTTTTAAGGATGGCCCAGGGTGAGCTTTTGTGATCGCTTTTCGTCCGGCGTCCGTCGGTCCGTAAACTTTTACTTTAAATGACATCTCTTCATAAACCACTAAGCCACTAAGCCAATTTCATCCAAACTTCACAGGAATGCTCCTTTGGTGGTCAGCTTTAAAAAATTGTTCAAAGAATTTTAATTCCATGCAGAACTCTGGTTGCCATGGCAACCGAAAGGAAAAACTTTAAATATCTTCTTTTAAAAAACCCAAAGAGCTAGAGCTTAGATATTTGGCATGAAACATCTTCTAGTGAGTGTCTACCAAGTTTATTCAAATAAAAGCCCTGGGGTCAAAATTGGCCCCGCCCCAAGGGGTCATTGATTTTCCCTATATGCATACAGTCAAACGTGTATTAAGCGACCGGGCAAGGGAAACACCAAAAACGGTCGCTTAATGAAACGGTCTCTTAAGACAGTCAGCATGACATAAAAGTCAAAATTTATAAATGACATCTTTTTTATTCGATGGGATTGTTTTTCAACTTCATTTTTATATAAATGTTGAATAATAAGTACGCCCCGATAATCTAAACGGATGCAAATGTAAAAATAACGTTCTGATATTTATTGACAAAACAGTTTTGATCCATTACGTACATGTTTGACATTTTTTCCAGAATTTTTTAACTTCTCCGTTGTTTTTCCTTGTCTCCAACACGAAAACCCTATTAGTGAAGATGTTTTCTGTTGTGCATTTTTTCATTTGAAATAAGCAAACTACATCTATTTGTTACGATTAATTTAATGGCTGATCAAGTTCAAGGTCAATTCAATGCAGTCTAAATGTCAACAAGCGAAGCGTATACACCATCTCAGTATGGGCGGAGCGTTGCATTGTTTATCCGATATTATTGGATTATACACGTCACGCGTATACAAATGTACTTAACTTCATTTGCATACGCTAAAACGGTATGGGAGATAGAGTTTTTTACACGTTTATTGTTGTGTTTTGATTGCTGACACTTGTGACATAACGAGGTGACGTTCTCTAAAAACACAATTACTTGACAGGTAAAAGTGGTCGTTTAATGAAAAGATTGATGTCAATTAGGTTACTAATTAGCGGTCGCTGGTCGCGTTGAGCAAAAGTCGCTTAATACATTAAAGATATAGAGAGAAAATGATCAGGGGGAATTTAAAGTGGTCGTTTAAGACAAAAGTCGCTTAATACACGTGGTCGCATGGGCAAGTTAGACTGTATAGTAAAAACTTAAAAAATCTTCTTTTAAAGAACCCAAAGAGCTAGAGCTAAGATATTTAGCATGAAACATCTTCTAATGAGTGTCTACCAAGTTTGTTCAAATAAAAGCCCTGGGGTCAAAATTGGCCCCGCCCCAGGGGGTCATTGATTTTCCCTATATGCATATAGTAAAAACTTAAAAAATCTTCTTTTAAAGAACTCAAAGAGCTAGAGCTAAGATATTTAGCATGAAACATGTTCTAATGGGTGTCTACCAAGTTTGTTCAAATAAAAGCCCTGGGGTCAAAATTGGCCCCGCCCCAGGGGGTCATTGATTTTCCTTATATGTGTATAGCAAAAACTTAAAAAATCTTCTTTGAAAAAACCCAAATAGCTAGAGTTTAGATATTAAGCATGAAACATCTTCTAGTTAGTGTCTACAATGTTTGTTCAAATTAAAGCCCTGGGGTCAAAATTGGCCCCGCCCCGGGGGTCATTGATTTTCCTTATATGTGTATAGCAAAAACTTAAAAGTCTTCTTTGAAAAAACCGAAATAGCTAGAGTTTAGATATTAAGCATGAAACATCTTCTAGTAAGTGTCTACAAAGTTTGTTCAAATTAAAGCCCTGGGGTCAAAACTGGCCCCGTCCCAGGGATGTCATTGTTTTTATATGCCCAAAAGAATTTCGGGCATATTATGTTATACCCCCTGGCGTCCGTCTGTCTGTCTGTCCGCACTCACAGGAGAGTAATTATGTGGCTAGAGGGACAATAGGTAACTGTTCTTTCTCTTTGATGTCATTCATTCCGTAATGCTTTTATGTGGCTATTTTCTTTTGTGTGGCTAAAAAGAACAATAGAGAGAACAATAGAGTAGCCACATAATTACTGTCCTGTGAGAACGTCCGTCCGTTAGCAATTTGGTTTCCGGAGCATAACTTAAGTTCCATTTGGCCCACAATATTCAAACTTCATAGGATGATTGTCCATATTGGGCAGAAGACCCCTATTGATTTTAGGGTCATAAGGTCAAAGGCCAAGGTCACTATGACCTTAAAACTGAAAACAGTTTCCGGAGCATAACTTAAGTCCTATTTGGCCCACAGTGTTCAAACTTCATAGAATGATTGTCAATATTGGGTAGAAGACCCCTATAGATTTTGGGGTCACAAGGTCAAGGTCAATATGACCTTAAAACTGAAAACAGTTTCCGGAGCATAACATAAGTTCCATTTGGCCCACAAATGTTCAAACTTCATAGGATGATTGTCTATATTGGGTAGAAGACCCCTATTGATTTTGGGGTCTATTTTAACACATCTAAACAGTTATCTAGTGTTGTAAAACAATTATAACTTGGTGGGAATATGCTTTTTCTTTTTACAGCATCACTTGTTTGAGAAAAAAACTTTGATTCACATTTTTCTTTTCTAGTGAACAAGACCTGAAAGACTTCATAAAAAGTAACCAGAAAACCATGGAAAAGAATGGATACATTTTTATCAAACAGAACTTTGAATCATTAGATACAGAACCGACTTTAACCGAAATTAGTGAAGTTCCGGTGACTGCCATTAAGGAGGAAGTTGCTTTAAAAACTGAACCAGAGACTGGTAATCAAATTTTGAATGTAAATGGTAAAATGGTATATCTTCAGATGGAGAACAAGGCAGTTGCACCTCAAGCCTTGCCTAATAATACGCCAGCTTTAACTCAAAATAAGCCGGAACAGAGTACTCAAAGTAGTGTTGCTAGTTTTCTTAAAGGTAGGAAACTTGTTGCCAAAAAAGATTCCGGTGCTCGTAGACAAGCTAACATTTTAAAAACTAGTGGATTAAAGAAAGATAATCAGAGTGGTGCACAGTCCAGTGCTGTTAAATTTGTTAATGTAGCTAATGTTAAACAGGCAACACCAAAGCCTTTGCAGTTGTTTCAAAGAGTTTCACATAATGTCCCGGCTGAACCTTTGACATTAGTTCAGGTGGCACCACATGGAGCTATTTCTATGGTACAAAATCAGGGCCAGTACATGGTTCCGGTATCTGTTGTACAAATGCCCCAACAAACACAGCAGATATTACTTTCATCTAATTCCACAAATTTTAAAGCACTTAATCTTCCAAGCGTTAATAGTGTGAATGTGAATAACGCAATTGTAAACAGCGTGCCAGATACAGGTATTATTGAACACTCACGTCCCCAGATCATTGAAATTCAAACAGTGCCTGTGTCAGAACTTCAAGCAGTTCCTGTTTCTGAAATTCAAACGGTACCAGCTTCTGAACTTCAAACAGTCCCTATTTCTATAGATGAAAAAGGGGCAGCAAGCAACATATCTGGATCTCAGGGTGTGAATCCCACCCCTATTGTAACTGATGCCCCATGGCAAGGTATAGTGAATATTAATTCAGAACAAGAGTTGTATGAGTACATTAATGCACAGTCCGTGACATCTGTGGAAAATGAAAACGGTATGACTATTCTTATACAGAATGTTGATTCCCAGAATGGAACAGTGATGTCGCTAGATTCACAAAATTTATTGTCTGGTTCTGGGAATTTTTCAAATGTGTTCCATGACCAATCAATTGTTGCCGATGTTTTACCAGAGTCTGTTGATATAACTGAAGTTCAAATTAATTCTGTTGAACCTTTAAGTCAAAATTCCAATCAAAATGTAGAAGGAGGTACATCAGAAATGAAAGACCAGTTCTTAGCTGAAGAAATTGTGAATGAAGAAGAAAACAACTTAGTGATGATAAAAGAGGCATCCAATGACTCAGATGATGCTCAAAGTCAAGTGATGCTTACTGAAGCAAATAGAGAGCATCTGAGTGACCAAGAGGATTTTACAGATGATCACAGTGAGAAAGTGCTTGATGATCAGGGTGGGAAGATGCTTGGTAAAAATGAGAATGAGTGTGAAGTAGAACCATTTAGTGACCACAGTATGTATACAGCTCATGTTGAAGTCAAGTGTGAACTTGACGATAGACCTGAAGATTTAATGGAGACAGATGATTGTGAGACTAATCAGATGATAATTGTTGACCATAGTAATGAAGACAACCACATCCAAGCAGACCATTCTAGCCCACAAAATGAGGAGACATAGTCCAGTCTAACAATATTCACATAACATTTGTTTATCAGCTAATCATAATGTACATAAGTGGATTTGTTAATGTTAAAACTGTTCACTAGTGCATGCTCTTTGTTGTTCTGTTTGTTCTAAATGTTAATTCTTCTTTAGAAAAATATTCAATTGTTTTAATTGTAAATACAATGTAATTACATGCATAGTTTTGACTAAAAATGGATTTAATAGGACTTCTATACATGTATATACTATATACACTAAAAGATTTTTCTTTAAACAAATGACTGATAAGTATTGAATTGTTAACTTATTCAGATGTGCTGTAGTGGTAGCTACATATAATGTTGGGTTATTGTCATCCTAGGTATTACTTGTGGGCCCCCCGTGGTATTTTTGAAGTATGCCCGATACTTCCAGACACTCTCGAAAAGTCTTTATCATCAATGTGGAACCTGTCATAATAAAAAAAAACACTCACATTTTTTCCTACTTTTTTGTTGTTTTTTTTTGTTTTGTTTTTTAGCTTTATCAAATATGCATATTAGTATATTTTTAACACAAATTAACCATTTTTCAAAAACATTAACTATACTCAACTATTTTAAGGTGCCTGTCTCTCAACCCAGGGATCATGGGTTCGAGCCCTACTCAGGTCACAACCATATTTCTTCATATAACACCAGTATGGTTGGTTCTAGGAAGCAGACTCGAAAGTGATTAATATAAGTTGCAAGGACTTAATTTGCTATCGCTTTAATAAATAGGTTTAATCTATTTTTTGCAAAATGCATATATTTTTGTGATGTCAAAAAACGGAAAGTAGATAAACCAAATCAACAACAAATTAAGTCAAGCAGGCTGACTTGTATTAATATTTGTATGGCCTTAGTGCTTACAACCAAGCAACGTGGTAAGGATGGGGAGGTAGATGGAGAGGAATGCTGTCCTGATAGATAATGCCATGCCAGTTTGTTGTCTTTTTTTTTTTAATTTAAGCAAATTTTATTTTACGAAATCAATTTTTTGCAAGTTAATTATCAGGGGCAGTTCAGAATTTTTAAGTACCGAAAAAAAAGTTTATACATGGGTGGATACAGTCTAGTAGTATACTAAAAGATACACAGGGGGGTGGGAGCCTGCAAGTAAAACTTGGGGATGACAATTACATGGTTACTTGTAGAGAATTATGTATAAATTATATCTTAATACAAAGAAATATCTGAAATAGTTAACTATTAACATTTTATTGTACATGTATATAGAACAAATTACCATAGACTTGATTTGTTATCGGATGTTTAAATAGATTTGAATTGTTATATCGAATTTAGAAATACTTATACCATAGAAGAGAACATTTGAATGTATAATGTTTAGATATTTTAAATGTTTCTTTTGTTGTAGTTTAAGAAATAATTACTTTAAAGCCGTTTTGAGCTCATATTTCTAAGTGATGTTAAGGCAGCATAGTTAGTGTGTTGTCTAAAGTAAACAGTTAATCTGCTAGAAATCAAAAGTGATCAAACGTGATCAGTCTTTGCCACCAGATAGAGACAGACCAGTCTGCGTGTTCATGCATTCTAACCATTGCTTGATGCTTTTGGCTGATAAACTTAAAAGTTTCCAATTGATATCCCTAAACTTGATAATGAACAGTTTTAAAAAGCTAGACAAACAAAGATGGACAAGTCCATTTAAGAAGATCAGGAGGTTAGAGGTTGAGTTTAAAACTTTATGTCTAATTACCCCTAACATAAACTATTTTAGAATAGCCCTTTCCATTATTGAATTGAAATCAGAGTAGTTTATTATTTGTGATCCTTGGACAAGAATTTTTAATTGGATTTATTATAGAGAATTTTGTGATCCTTTGACATAAATATTTAATTAGATAATCATTTATTATCGAAAATTTTAGGATCCTTTGAAATGAATATTTAATTGGATTAATTGTAGAGAATTTTGCGATCCTTTTAGGAAATATTTTTATTAATTTTACTAAAAATTTCTCAAAAGTATATAGGTTGATCTTGTCAAATTAAAAATACTTTTACTCCCTAATTTTAACTGCATTGTTATAAAATTAAGCATTATTTAGCCAATAATAACATGTTTGTTATCATAATAATATATTTAAAACTGAACACATTTTCTTTCTTAAAAAGAGATACATAAATAATATGTAAAGAAGGAAAGAAAAAAGTTGAATCTGATGAGGCACATTCAATGCAATTGACAAAAATTCTAGCCTATTTAGATACTCTTCAAAGTGAAGGTTATAGCATTAGGAGAGTACAGACAAAATTGGATTTAGATTTATAATAGAGAATATATCTGTAAAACATTTTGTACATTCATGATTTTTTGTGTGTTTAGTTTGTTCAATGAATTTTACCGTTTTTAAAGCATTACAAAAACCGTTGATATTTTTTCAAATATCTAATATATTTTGACTGCCAGTAATGTAAAGAGGTTTTTATGAGAATTTATTTATCAAAAGTTACTTGCTTGAATTGTTTCAAGACAAAATATGAAATTTGATTCACGACATATGAAATTTTGTTTTCATGCATTTTCATTGATGATTATAATGTATGAAACTGTTTACTAATGTGAAATATTTAGTAATGGTTTTATTATTTTTGACTGAATTGTTGTAATTACTCATCTGTATAAGACAGACCACTCATAAGTCAAGGTCTAACTTTTAACTCTAATTCAGCAGTGATTTGCTTAGACTCATGTAACAAAAGATAGAACTTTTCAGAGTATGTGCTGCTAATTAATGGGTACTTATGTGATAATGGGAGCAATAGATTACAAAGAATTCCTTACTGAACTTAAAAAAGAACACAGATAAAATTTAGATAAACACTAGAGTGTCAATTAGGTTGTGCCAGATAGTATAAGACCTGTGTCATAAAGTCTGTTGTACATAAGATACTTGTATGTTAATGTGGTAACAATATATATTTATACTGATAATCTTATTCTCATTGCCAAGGAGATGAGTTATTTATAAAAGCAAAGATAATTTTAAATCTAGAACAATATGGACAGTAAGGACATGCAGTTATTCTGTCATTAAGTTTTGTTGTAATATCAGGAAACAATAACAGCACTTTCAAGTGCTGGCATTTATAATGTATGTAATCAGTTATACGGTAGACCAGTCTCCTTATTTGTGCAGTCTTGTCAGACTGACAACTGTCTTGATACATTAGTGTGATGTTGCTCCTCCGAAGTCTTTTAGCCAATTACCAAATTATGTCTGATGAAAGTTTTCTGGTAGTAAATTTGTTAAACTATAAGAAATAGTACACTGTACTGATGGCCTCATAGCATTATAATCACTAATCAGTTAGAACATGAATATTTAATGGACTGAAACCCAAGTCTGAGGTTCGTTCAATGTATTGGGTTGACTGGGAAATCACTTTAACATTATGAGTTATAAAGAACTGTGCTCTATTTCTTATATTATACCTCATGTTACTAAAACATATCAGTAAAAGTTTGTATTTTATTTGAAAAAAGGCTGGCTGTCACTTACATATATAAAGATGGATTTACTGACAGTATTGTGTAATGACAGCTGGTTTACTGACAGTATTGTGTAATGACAGCTGGTTTACTGACAGTATTGTGAAATGACAGCTGATTTACTGACAGTATTTTGTAATGACAGCTGATTTACTGACAATATTGTTTTAAGACAGCTGATTTACTGACAGTATTGTGTAATGACAGCTGGTTTACTGACAGTATTGTGAAATGACAGCTGATTTACTGACAGTATTTTGTAATGACAGCTGATTTACTGACAGTATTGTGTAAATACAGCTGAATTACTGACAGTATTGTGTAATGACAGCTGATTTACTGACAATATTGTTTTAAGACAGCTGATTTACTGACAATATTGTTTTAAGACAGCTGATTTACTGACAGTATTGTGTAATGACAGCTGATTTACTGACAGTATTGTGTAATGACAGCTGATTTACTGACAGTATTGTGTAATGACAGCTGATTTACTGACAGTATTGTGTAATGACAGCTGATTTACTGACATATTATTTTAAGACAACTGATTTACTGACAGTATTGTGTAATGACAGCTGATTTACTGACAGTATTGTGTAATGACAGCTGATTTACTGACAGTATTGTGTATTGACAGCTGATTTACTGACAATATTGTGTAATGACAGCTGATTTACTGACAATATTGTGTAATGACAGCTGATTTACTGACAGTATTGTGTAATGACAGCTGATTTACTGACAGTATTGTGTAATGACAGCTGATTTACTGACAGTATTGTATATTGACAGCTGATTTACTGACAGTATTGTGTAATGACAGCTGATTTACTGACAATATTGTATATTGACAGCTGATTTACTGACAATATTGTATATTGACAGCTGATTTACTGACAATATTGTGTAATGACAGCTGATTCACTGACAGTATTGTGTAATGACAGCTGATCTTCTGACAGTATTTTGTAGCTGACAGTTTTTTGTAGGTGACAACATTGATTCTGGTCAAACTGCACAAATATGAAAGCTGGTCTAGCGTGTTGCAGATGTAAGTTTTCTATGATAACAAGCATTTGAAAGTCTTGCATACCTTTTTTGCATACCTGAAATACGGAATAACTAGTAGTTTTCATTGGGAATAATTAGATGCACGGATTTAATAGTTTATATAGTTCATTGTATTTATTTTTAAATGTTGTAAATTTGAAAGTTATGTACTAACAATGGTACCAAATAGATATTATGAATTCACTCTTCT